GGAGGGGCGGGCCTTGCACGTGGGGGTGCAAGGGCGCGCGGGGCAGGGGCAGAGGGCCGGCTGTGCACGCGCGAGAGGGCAGCAGGGCCTGTGTGCCAGGGCGCGGCGGTGCGTGTGCAAGGGACGGGCAGTGCACGTGTGAGTGCAAGGGGTAGGCCGCGCATGTGCCGAGGAGCAGGGGCACGTGTGCAAGGGGCTGGCTGTGCACACGCACGTGCAAAGAGCTGGCTCTGCGTGTGCAAGGGTGCAGCAGAGTGTGCTCCAGGGTCTGGCTGGATGAAGGAAAGGCTGTGGATGGTGTTTATCTGGACTTTAGCAAGGCCTTTGATACATTCTCCCACAGTCTCCTCCTGGGGAAACTGGCTGCCCATGGCTGGGATGGGAATACCCTCTGCTGGGTTAAAAACTGGCTGGAGGGACAGGCCCAGAGAGTGGTGGGGAATGGAGTTAAATCCAGTTGGTGGCCAGTCACGAGTGGTGTCCCACAGGGCTCGGTACTGGGGCCAATTCTCTTTAACATCTTTATCAATGACCTGGACGAGGGGATCGAGTGCACCCTCACTAAGTTCACAGACAACGCCAAGCTGGGTGGGGGTGTTGACCTGCTGGAGGGTAGAGAGGCTCTGCAGAAAGATCTCAACAGGCTGGATCGATGGGCTGAGACCAACAGGATGAGTTTCAATAAGGCCAAGTGCCGGGTCCTGCACTTGGGTCACAGCAACCCCCTGCAGCGCTACAGGCTGGGGGCAGAGTGGCTGGAGAGCTGCCTGGCAGAAAAGGACCTGGGGGTGTTGGTCGACTGTCGGCTGAACATGAGCCAGCAGTGTGCCCAGGTGGCCAAGAAGGCCAATGGTATCCTGGCCTGTATCAGGAACAGCGTGGCGAGTAGGGCCCAAGAGGTGATTGTCCCCCTGTACTCAGCACTGGTGAGGCCTCACCTTGAGTACTGTGTCCAGTTTTGGGCCCCCTACCACAAAAAAGACATAGAGGTGCTGGAGCAGGTCCAGAGAAGGGCGACAAAGCTGGTGAGGGGTCTGGAGCACAAGTCTTATGAGGAGAGGCTAAGAGAGCTGGGGTTATTCAGCCTGGAGAAGAGAAGGCTGAGGGGAGACCTTATTGCTCTCTACAACTACCTGAAAGGAGGGTGTAGAGAGATGGGGGTCGGTCTCTTCTCTCAAGTCACAGGCGACAGGACGAGAGGAAATGGCCTCAAGTTACGCCAGGGGAGTTTCAGGCTGGATATTAGGAAAAATTTTTTCACTGAAAGGGTTATCAGCCATTGGAATGGGCTGCCCAGGGAGGTGGTTAAGGCACCATCCCTGGAGATGTTCAAAAGACGGGTTGATGTAGTGCTGGGAGGTATGGTTCAGTGATGGTGATACTTCTTGTTTGTTGTGTGGGTGTCTATTTTTGTCAGTTAGGTTGATGGTTTGACAAGATGATCTTTAAGGTCCCTTCCTACCTAGAAGATTCTGTGATCCTGTCTGGCTGGGCATGTGCACGTGCAAGGGGCCAGTGGTGCATGTGCAAGGAGCTGGCTCTGTGTGTGTAAGGGTGCAGTGGTGTGTGTGCAAGGGGTAGGCTCTGCATGTGCACGCGCAAAGGATCAGCAGTGCACCTGCAAGTTGCTGGCTGTGCAGCTGTGTGTGCAAGGGGACAGTGGCGCATGTGCAAGGGGCTGGCTGTGCACACGCTCATGCAAAGGGCCAGCTGTGCGTGCACAAGGGTGCAGTGGGGTGTGCTCAAGGGTCTGGCTGGGCACATGCAAGGAGACAGTGGTGCATGTGCAAGGTGCTCTGTGTGTGCGTATACCAGGGCGCAGTGGTGCGTGTGCAAGGGGCTGGCTGTGCCAGGGCGCCATGGTATGCATACAAGGGGCTGGCTGTGCATGTGCGTGTGCCCCAGTGCCAGCACAGACAAGTGTCCCACACCCACCGGCGTGCCCAGGCTGTAACCGGAGCAGCCCCTGCCAGCCTGCTCTCATACCCACAGCGGGTATTTATAACCGGGGGCTGGTTATGTTATATATTATATACGTTATAGCCGGGCACCCCTCACCTGCCCCCGTGGAGCCCGGCTCCAGCTGCCCGGCCGTTGGGCCACCACGGGGCCACCAGACCCTGTGGCCCCTGGTATTTTCTCTCCATGACGCCAGCGCCCCATGAGCCAGCCCGCCCGCCCCAGCGCTGCGCAGCTTTCCTGGCTCCTTCCCCAAGTTTCCGACACCCTTTCCCAGTCTGGAAGCCTTCCCGGCTCTGGGTCCCCAGGTTTGGGACAGGACCATCCGCAGGCGCCCAGCCCACCCCAGCGAGGCACGGAGACAGGACGGGGACGGGCTGCTCAGGGTCTTTATTGCTGCTCTGGCACCTTGCTCACTCCAAACCACGGGGACGCTGGCAACTCCGGACCCCGGCTGAGAGGAGGGGACAGGGGAGGGGGACGGGGGACAGGGGACAGGGCAGAGGCCATCTCCCCAAAGTCAATAAATAAAGCCCTATTGCTACAGCAGCATCTGGAAGGTGGGTACCCAACCGCTGCCCCCGTCCCCCCACCCGAGGCAACCCAGACTGTCCTGCCACCAGCTGGGAAAGGGGACAAGGGGCTTGGCAGGGCACCCGTGGGGCTGTGCCGTGGCACTGGGGGGGGGTGAAAAGGGTGGGAGGTGGCACAAGGTGGTGTGTGTGTGGGAGGGGGTTGTCTGGGGACGGGGCTCAGGGCAAGGGCTGGAGCCGGGCGGGCAGAGCATGAGCAGCGAGGGCCTGAGCAGGCGCAGGAGGTGTGCGTGGCACCTGGGTGCCCCCCTGCAAGGGATGGGGGTGCTGGCAAACCCCCCCCTGCTCCCCAGCCACCGCTGTCCCAGTACAGCCCCGGGGAAGGCACCGGCGTCAGTCCTGGAGCTGCAAACCCACTTGGCAGGACCGGGGCTGGGAGGAGCAGAAGGCTGGTGGCCCCCAGCTCCCAGCCCTAAGGGGGGGGGGGGGGGGGCTGCAGGGGCACCCCCCCCTGCAGGAACCCCTGGAGCAGCCTCAGTCCTGGTGCACTGGCGTGCAAATCAAGGGGGAGTGCAGGGACCCCCGTGCCGTGGCCAGCTGCAGGCTGGGGCGTAAGGCACACGGCTGACGGGACCTGCAGCGCGAGGGGCTAGCCAGCGGGCTGGTGGCTCTCTGCTCTCTTGGCCCCCCCAGTCCCCATCCCGTCCTTCCCCTGACCCTCTGCCCCATCCTCCGTTCCTCCCAGCAAGGCTTCCCGCTGCTGGACCCCACTGCCGGGACGGCTGGGGCAGCGCCTGCTCTCTCCCTCGGCACCGCCAAAATGATGCCGACCGCCAGCATCCCCGGCGGTGGCACGTGAGGTCCGTGGGCTCGTCCCGGCTCCTCCTCGGCCGCCCAGTCCCGCGGCCCCTGGAATGTTCCTCTGGCTCCTCGGCCCCTCATGGCCGCGGCTGAGGTGTTGGCTACTGCGGCCCCGGCGGCTGGCCGCCCTGGTAGGAGCGGAGTAAGACCTTGTGCTTGGTGACGGCCTCGCTGCGGCGCCGCTGGTGCTCCACCAGAAACTCCTTGAGGCGGTTGGTGGTGAAGGTCAGGGTCTGGCGGCGCAGCTTCATCAGGTAGGCGTCCTGGAGCCAGGGGTTGGCAAAACAGTCCTTCACCGTGGGGCGGCTCCTGGGGCAAGGGTGGCACCGAGTCAGGGGCCACGGTGTGCTCACTGCCACCGCACCACCCAAACCCAGCCACCACCCTTGCCCTGCAAGACCCAGGGGGTCCCAGCCCTCTCTGAGAGCAGGGATGGATCCCAAGGTCCCTGATCAGGAGAGCCCAGCCCTTTCCAGGAGCAAGGATGGACCCCAGGGTCCCACTGGTGATGTCTTGAGGGTCTCCATGGGGCAGGGAGCTGCCCACCTGGCCTGGTCATGGGTGAAGTCCAGGGCCAGGCACTCACCAGGGGTGGACGGCAAGGACTTTGCGTATGAAGAGGGCAGCACTCTGTGAGACGTTGGGGTACAGCTTGAAGGCATCAAAGCGCCCTGCCAGGATCCGGTTCTCTGTCTCAATGGGGTCCAGTTCAAAGAATGGTGACCGTCCGCTGAGCCTGTGAGGGTGGAGAGGGTGGCACAGGCTGGGGGCACCAGTGGGAGGGCTCCCAGAACCCCCTACCCAGCCACCCACATTTGCCCAGGGTCTTGATCCCTGTGTCCAGCTGGGAAAGGTCTGCATGGTTACAGCATCCCCCAGCCCACCACCAGCCTGGTGTCCCCCATGGCACCGACGCCTGGATGGAGCTGACTGCTCCTCAGGGTGCTCGTCCCCCTGGCCCTTTCCTCTTACATGATGTAGGTGAGGACGCCAACACCCCAGACATCTGCTGCGGAGCCCACTGGGTCACCCTTCACCACCTCCGGTGCTGCGGGCAGGGAAGCAAGGGTTGTCATATGCACTGGGGGGCCCAGCCCCAGCATCCCCAGTGCCCCCAGTCCCACAGCATCCGCAACACCCACAGCTCCCACAGCACCTCCAGCACGTGCAGCACCATTAGCATGCACAGCATCCCCACCACCTGGCCAGCATCCCCGGCGGTGGCACGTGAGGTCCGTGGGCTCGTCCCGGCTCCTCCTCGGCCGCCCAGTCCCGCGGCCCCTGGAATGTTCCTCTGGCTCCTCGGCCCCTCATGGCCGCGGCTGAGGTGTTGGCTACTGCGGCCCCGGCGGCTGGCCGCCCTGGTAGGAGCGGAGTAAGACCTTGTGCTTGGTGACGGCCTCGCTGCGGCGCCGCTGGTGCTCCACCAGAAACTCCTTGAGGCGGTTGGTGGTGAAGGTCAGGGTCTGGCGGCGCAGCTTCATCAGGTAGGCGTCCTGGAGCCAGGGGTTGGCAAAACAGTCCTTCACCGTGGGGCGGCTCCTGGGGCAAGGGTGGCACCGAGTCAGGGGCCACGGTGTGCTCACTGCCACCGCACCACCCAAACCCAGCCACCACCCTTGCCCTGCAAGACCCAGGGGGTCCCAGCCCTCTCTGAGAGCAGGGATGGATCCCAAGGTCCCTGATCAGGAGAGCCCAGCCCTTTCCAGGAGCAAGGATGGACCCCAGGGTCCCACTGGTGATGTCTTGAGGGTCTCCATGGGGCAGGGAGCTGCCCACCTGGCCTGGTCATGGGTGAAGTCCAGGGCCAGGCACTCACCAGGGGTGGACGGCAAGGACTTTGCGTATGAAGAGGGCAGCACTCTGTGAGACGTTGGGGTACAGCTTGAAGGCATCAAAGCGCCCTGCCAGGATCCGGTTCTCTGTCTCAATGGGGTCCAGTTCAAAGAATGGTGACCGTCCGCTGAGCCTGTGAGGGTGGAGAGGGTGGCACAGGCTGGGGGCACCAGTGGGAGGGCTCCCAGAACCCCCTACCCAGCCACCCACATTTGCCCAGGGTCTTGATCCCTGTGTCCAGCTGGGAAAGGTCTGCATGGTTACAGCATCCCCCAGCCCACCACCAGCCTGGTGTCCCCCATGGCACCGACGCCTGGATGGAGCTGACTGCTCCTCAGGGTGCTCGTCCCCCTGGCCCTTTCCTCTTACATGATGTAGGTGAGGACGCCAACACCCCAGACATCTGCTGCGGAGCCCACTGGGTCACCCTTCACCACCTCCGGTGCTGCGGGCAGGGAAGCAAGGGTTGTCATATGCACTGGGGGGCCCAGCCCCAGCATCCCCAGTGCCCCCAGTCCCACAGCATCCGCAACACCCACAGCTCCCACAGCACCTCCAGCACGTGCAGCACCATTAGCATGCACAGCATCCCCACCACCTGCAGCATCCCCACCACCTCCAGCACCCACAGCACCACCAGCACCTTCAACACCCACAGCAACCCCACCACCTCCAGCACCCACAGCATCCCCAGCACCACCAGCACCCCACCATTACACCTTCCTGCACCCCTCCCTGACACCCCAGTACCTTGACAGAGGCCAGCACCTCCAGGAATACCCCAACTGCCCCCAAACTCTCCCATTGAGCTCAGCAACCCCACAGAAACCCCCCAGCACCCCAAACCCCCCGCCACCCAACTTCCCCAAGGACAGCTCACCTCCTCCCCAGTCCCAGGTCCCCCCAATGCACGGGCACACATGCACACCTCAGGCACACAGGTTCCCCATCCCTGTCCCCATGCCACTGCACCCCCGGTACCCCACTCACACATGAACTCCAGGGTGCCAACACGCCGCCCCAGCTGCCGCAGCACGAGGGGGTTGTAGGTCTGGGCGCTGCCAAAATCAATGATCTTGAGGGCGTTCATGCCCGAGACGACAATGTTGTCTGGCTTGATGTCGAGGTGCACGATGCGGCGGCCATGCAGGTACTCGAGGCCCTGCAGGAGCTGCAGCACGTAGGTCACCACGTCGTCCTCCGAGTAGCGAAACCTGGAGGGCAAGTGGCATCAGCAGGCTGCCCCGTGCCAGCAGCCAGTGCTGGTGGCCCCAGACTCCCCTGTACCTGTCCACGATGCTGTAGAGGATCTCCTTGCCGGCGCAGTTCTCGCAGATGAGCACCAGGTAGCGGGGAGTGATGTACGCCTCGTGTAGGGCCATGATGCGCTCGTGGTGCAGCACCTTGAGGATCTCATACTCCTGGAGCACGCTCTGCTTCCTCTCCGCCTCGTAGGGCACAATCTTGGCCATGAAGTGCTTCCCCGTGGCGTTCTCCTTGCACAGCCGGATCACCCCAAAGCGGCCCCTGCGACACAGGGTGGTGCTCAGCATACCCCAAGTGATGTGCTGGTGGGTGGGACACCCACGGCAGAGCATCCCATCCCATCCCATCCCATCGCTACTCACCTCGCCTTCTCATCCAGGAAGGTGTAGGGCTTTTGGGGGACACCCTGCCGCAGTGCTGTGCTGTCCTTAGCCCCTGGGACCCCACTCTCAACTGGGGGCTCCTTGGAGGACGGGGTGGTGGCGGGAGGCTCCTGTGCAGGGGGTGATGTCGGGGGCATGGAGACGAAGGAAGTGACCATGTATGGGGGCATCTTCCGCGTGGGTGCAGCGTTGGAGGTGGGGGCTGAACCAGGGGTGGTCGATGCTGGGGAGGTGGGGGACAACTTGGAAGGAGACGGAGCCTGGGGTGGGGGGGATGTGTCCGTGGGGGGTGCAGGGGAACCCCGAGTGGGGGTGTCTGTGTGGGGCGAGGCAGCAGTCCGAGGAGGGGTGAATATCAGCTCCGGGGGTACACAGACGGTGATGTCGGGTGGGAGCTCGGGGTCTGGCTGTGGACCCTCGTCGCGGGGTGCAGGGGGCTGGACGACACCAGGGGGGACACCCCCTTGCGCTGCCCCATCTGCCTTCTGCACCACTGCCTTGTGCTTGCGGGGCGGTGTGGTGGGGGGTGCCCCAGTGGCCGGTGGCTCCAGCTGCCCCACAGGCGTCTGGGTCGACCGGCTGGAAGCCACCTTCTCGGGGACGGGGACAGGGATGGCGATGTCCTTGGCTGGGGCAGCTCGGGCATCTGCAAGGAGCAAAGGGAGGTGAGTCAGGTGGCAGTAAGCCAGGAGCGGGGTGCAAGTGGTGCCCCAAAGCCCTGAAAGGGAGATCCCCCAGGATTCAAAGATCTGTGAGAGCATCCCAGAGGCTATAGCCCCACACCCAGCCCTATGGCTGCCCCACGTCCCACGGGACAGGGCTCGCTCACCTACTGCCTCCAGGTGCACTTTCCCTGAGGGGTTGCTGTAGGGCCCCTGCCCAGCCTTGTTGACACAGGCCACCCGAAACTTGGCAGTGCTCCCGGGGGGCAGCTCCGTCACGTTGAAGTAGCAGTCGATGATGCCGGTGCTGACGATCTTCCACTCGTGCTCCCCTGCCAGTGTGGGGGCAAGGTGAGCTTGCTCCTGTCCCCTAGCCCTGACACAGGACCCCACCGAGCCCCGAGGGACAGCAAGGACATCCGGGTACTTGTGTCCTGGCTTGGTGTCCCCAGATGAGCCCAACTTTCTGGCTGTGGCTCTTGGGGGACAGGAGGCAGCCCCACATACCGTCCAGCCTGCGCTCCAGGGTGTAGGTGCAGGGGGCTTTGCTCTCTGCGGGTTTCCACAGCACCAGCACCGTGTTCTTGTACTTCTGGGGGATCTCTGGGGTGCCCGGCCGCCCGGGGATCCCTGCGAGGGGACAGAGAAGGTGGGGGGCAAGGACAAGGGCAGAGCTGCTGCAGGGTGAGGGCGGCACAACACATGGGCTCAGAGATGCTGGGAGTGCCCGTGCAAAACCGGCCTGTCCCCTCTCAAAAGTCCCAGTCTCTTGAGGATGCAGAGAGCGGAGCCCAATGACCTGCTCTGACCGGTCCCCAGCCCTGGGGTCCATGCCTGCCATGTGCTCTCTCCCCGTGGGGCAGCACCTCTGTACCCTAAGGTCCCCCCCGCCACCCTGCATCCTTACGTGCCACAGCCAGCGTGCAGGAGCTGATGGCTGTGCCCAGGGCATTGGTGGCTGCACACTCGTACAGCCCCGCGTCCTTCCTGGAGACCTTGGTGATGGTGAGCATCTGCCGGCCGTCCTTGCAGGAGACGACGTTCAGCGCGCTGTCCGGCTGCAGGGACTTCTTGTCTGCGGGGTGGGAGCAGAGGAGAGGGATGCTACAGTGGCCCCCCCATAGCGCTCACCCCCAGAGGCAGCTCAGACAGCCCCCCACCTTTCATCCAGAGGATCCTGGGGGTCGGGCTGCCAGCCGGCAGGCAGCAGAGGGTCAGCGCCTCCCCCTCCAGCAGCACCTGGTCCTTCAGCTTGATGTGGAAAACAGGGGGGAAATCTGGAAAGCAGAGGTGGGGGTCACCCCGGGGCAGTGATGGGCACCCCCCCACCCCATCCCGAGGCTGCACCTACCTGACTCGCTGGGGGTGTGCGGCCGGCCGGTGGCGGGTCCCTCCTCCCGCAGCAGGCTGGAGGGGATGCTGGGCTGCGAGGCCACCTTCTCCTTCTTGCCCCGCGAGAGCCCCCACCGCTCCCAGCGGGACCGCTTCTGGCTCTCACCCCCACCTGCGGGCATACGGGGCGGCTGAGAGGGGGGCCGAGCCAGGGGGACCGTGCCTGCCGTCCCCAGGGTGGCTGGACCATGGGGTGCCGGTGGGACCCCCCTTTCAGCTCACCTTTGGCAGAGGAGGAGGAGCGGGTGCTGCCCTCTGAGCGCAGGGACTCGGAGGAAGGCGCGGGTGCCGGTGGGGGCCCCGGCTGCAGGCTCTCCCCCTCGGAACTGGCTCGACGCAGGTCCCCGAGCCCCGAGCCCTCCGGCCGCTCATCCGACAGGCTACGCAGCCGCGCAGAGACCCGCTCCACCGTGGCACTGATCTTCCTCCGCACGGCCACCACCGGGGAATCGCTCTCCCCACCGCCCCCCGTCTCCGACTTGAGGCTCTCCGAGTCCCTCCGCTCCTTGGAGTTGCCCATGGCCAGGCTCCAGGACAAGCGGCGCCCGAAGGTTGGGGTCTCGCTACCTCCATCCTCCCCCCTGCTCTTCTTCCTCTCGGCAGGTGGAGTCCTCTTGAGGAGCACAGACATTCTCCGGAGGAAGCCCCTGTCCTTCTCCACCTCGTGCAGGTCCTGCACTGACTTGGACTTGGCCACCAGCCCGGTGGGGCGGTCCCTGCGCAGCTCCAGGGGCACGCCGGCCGGTGTGGGACGGTAGATGCCCTCATCGGGGGC